CAATCGCTTCAAAACCATTTCACCTGTACTCAAAATCAATCAAAGCTTTCAAATCATACACACATTAGTCAATAATATACACACTACAGATCATTCATTAGACACTACATCAAAAAATGGAGAACACAGTATCCAGGGCATTTAGTTACAAAAAAAAAAGTTTATTGTATATAGTAAATATTTAGCAATAAAACACACACACATATATATATATATATATATATGTACAGTATATATATATATACACAGTATATACACATGCATACATGCATATGAATCAGAGGATTTCATCTGGTCACAGGCAGGCAACAGGGAAAAAAACCCTCTGGTGTGGTGGATCCAGCCTTGACAAGACAGCATGTTTATGTCACCACAGACCAGTTCTTCCATCCTAACGTGGTAGTCTTTCAACTCTACACAAGATTCTCGTCCACTCTTCTTTTGCTGTTCTTTTGAACTTTCCAACTGATTATGTTGGCCAGAGAATCTGCTCAATTTAGGTTGAACTCTTTGTCCTGCCTCTGTCATTCCACACACTAGAACATGGTCTATCACAGTTGCTCTGATTTCATCTGAAATGACTGTTCTTGGTCTTGCTCTTCCTCCACCTCGTATACACACTCTTCCGTACCTCTCAGATTGATGGATGCACCCATGCCATCTGTGCAGTTTGAATATTTCGTTCATTCACAAATTTAGAAACAAGTGTGAACAGTTTTGAATTATTGTGTGTAAACAATGACAACCGTGTTGCAGTTGTGCTTAACTTTTGCTTTCTCGTGTTTAGGGTTTTGCATCACAAGTTTATCACAGTGCAAATAGCGTTTTAGTGAGTGAGAATGTGTTTAGAGTTTTGCAAAAAGAGTGCATGAGATCTGCAAATAATGTCTAAACTGCCTGAACTTGTTTAAGGTTTCGCAGAAAGAGTGATTTATTTGACAAACTGGTTTAGGCTATTGAGAATTTGGTTCAGAGTTTGGGATGTAGTGTCTTTGCAAATGTGAAAAACTGTAAAAATAGAGGTTCTTCGTAAATCATTTTTGACATCCATGGAACTGTCCCATTCCACAAAAGGTTATTTAAAGGGTTCTTTAGGTTTTTATATTGTTCTTCACACTAGGAAAAAAATGGTTCTTTTAAGAATTGTTCACTGCAAGACTCTTTAGGGAACCAGAAAAGATTCTTCTATGACATTGCTGAGAATGCCATAGAACCTTTACTTTTAAGAGCGCAGATGGACCTGGTTTGAGGTCATACTAGATTAAATCACAAATCACCAATCGACATACACTAATGGAGAGCATCCATCAAAGTCCAGCTCTGCAAAAAGACAGCCCACTGTGACAACACCCTGTCCACTGATATCACCGATATAGAGACCCCCAGACTCGTTAGGGCATCTATTATGCTCAGTCATTTTTCACGCAGAAATTTATGGAAGTCATTCCCAGTGGGACAGCATGCGTCAATGCCCTGGGCGTCTGACTATGAAGAGCTGTGCTTCAAACTCCAGTCCATCTGATCTTTGCTTGATCATTTATCTACGTTGACCTCAAACTAATCAGCGATTGAGTCATCAGACCTCATCTCGCAAGCTTCCCATCTGCTTATCACTGAATGTTTATCTCAGCCGCATTCTTTAATTAGGATTAAGAAAATGCCACAAGGTTTCATATGTTAGCATTATACACTATTATACACGTCTTCATACTGTATAGAGCATATCTTTTTTTTAACAACTAACAACTACTTAATTCAAAAGAAGTACCTCCCTCAGAGAATATGCAATTTTGAATGCAGCCCCTTTTGTTAATTTGAACATTTACTAATGCATTTTTAACATTTAGTTATTGCACTGTTAACTAACTTGAACAAACAATGAAGAAATGTATGTTTTATTAGAAAACAAAAATAACGACTTTATTCCACATTTTCGTCTTTACTGCGTCACTTTGTACGCGCGGTCACGACAGTATCATGACGCGAGCGTGTGGCGGCGCCGGCGCTGACCCAGATCCAGCGTGATGACGTCATTACGCCGGATCTGGGTCAGCGCCGCCATTATTTTTGTTTTCTTTGCGCAAAAACGTATTCTCGTAGCTTCGTAACTTTACAGTTGAACCACTGATGTCACACGGACTACTTTGTCGATCATCTTGGTACTTTTTCTGGACCTTGAACGTGGTAGTTACCTTGCTGTCTATGGGAGGGTCAGAGAGCCCTCATATTTCATCAAAAATATCTTAAATTATGTTCCGAAGATGAACGAAGGTCTTACGGGTTTCGAACAACACGAGGGTGAGTAATTAATGACATAATTTTCATTTTTGGGTGAACTAACCCTTTAACATTAACAAAGATTAATAAATGCTGTAAATTATATTGCTCATTGTTAGTTCATGTTAACTAAAGGGGCCATTGTAAAGTGTTACCATTATACAAGTTTTTTAATGCAGTTTTTTCTTAATAAATGAAAATAAATCTAACATTATAATAAATAAATTCTATAAAAAAATATATATATTATAATAATAATACATATATGTTATAGACAAACCTAAGAAAAAAGATCATATCTTTTCATAAAATGTGAGTTTTATGGGAAAGGACAGCAATGCTCTTTTCAGCTGCCCATAGCTGTTGCGGGTGCAAGATAGTGGTTTTGGCCACAGTGATGAAGTCTGTGCCATTGTGTTCTGGCTGAGACATGGATCATTGGCAGCACTTTCCTGGCCTTAGGGCTGAGGCCCTATCATAGCACTAGTTGATCACAGCTGCACATTGCACCAGCATCACAAAATATTGCCGCAAACACACTGATAACAGGCCATTCTTCTGTTATGATTTAATTATGCTGCTTAAAATCTTGAGAAGTGTGAATTATGCAAGTGAAGCAATGGCATATTCTGTGTGTTTTATTTATTCTCTGAGCATAAACTGTCCAAGTTTATATTTGTTTGGATTGTTTTGTGGTTTTCATGGCATTCAGTATAAAAAGTAGTGTGGTTTTCTGCAGAAACCATTTCCATGGCATCCCAACTGAGCAAATCAACTTTTTGAGTTTAAGACTATACTATAGGTTATTTTTCTGTTTAGGAAGTTGTTGTTCCATTTGGATCAGATCAGCTGCAGCAGATTCATCAAAATGTCAAAGCTCTCCAACTGACAGAAACGGAATGATGATATCTTGCAAACCTGAGATTTGAAATCTATAAAGTTTGAATGAGAAATATCTTCCCTTCCCCTCCCCAAAGTTTGGTTTGAAGCGCAACTAACCATCATATGAATGTAGCTACAGGGACACATTTGTCTCATCTCTAACCTCGTGCTTTACAGAAGCACTGCTCTGGCACTAATCATTAAATCAGAGCAGAAAGAATTTCTGCTGCCTAAAGACAAACACACTGGGGGCAGCGCACTTTCCCTGAAATGTAACTAATGAATATACTCTTCTTAAACAGTCAAATCTTTGTGTACTGTACGCTTCATCTTCTGCTGCAGTGTTGAAGACATATCATTGCGCCACTGCTTTTGAATTTATAGCTACTTATGTTGCATGATTTCTGCAAAAACACTCCGTAAGAGCTTGAAATCACAACCTTTTTGACTCCAAGCCCTCTATTATTCACAACCATATTCCATAGCTTTTACAGTTGCTGTACTGTTTTTTTTATATATATTTTGTTGAGCAAAAATATAAGCATATTAGAGAGTATTATAGAACTAGAGCAATGTATATTCATTATAAAAATGCCCACATAATTTTATGATTATATTAAATTAATTGACTTCTCCACATCTAGAAATCACACTATTAAAATTAGGCTTACTTATACCTCCAGATTATTCATGACATTTGTTTAGGAGGTGAATTAAAATAAGTAAATAAATAAATATCTCGCTTCTAATTGTTTTGTCTTATTTTAAATCATTTTAATCATCGTGAGGACCGCTTATGTCCTTTCCCTCTGATTGAGTATATAAAGTATAATCTTTACTATGAATTTCATATACTTTTACAGATCAACAGTTACAAATGTGCATCAACCAGTATTTCAGAAATGTCTACGTTGTGAGTCATAACACAAGTGGCATTTTTATTTAAAATTATTAAAACATATTTATTGCCTTAAGTTGCTTGTGTATTTATATATTTTTTTAATTCCCATAAACTATTGATTTGTTGATGCTCACAAAAATAAAACCGCTTCCTCTATATACAAATTAATTTATTCAAAGTTAAACTATTGATTTGCTGTCTACCCTGCTGTTCTAAAGTAGCCGGGATGAGGTTAAAATGAAAATGCAAGTAAAAATGCGTCAGAACAGCAGAAGCTGCTAAATATATAATTAGTATGACTGGAATGAGTTTAACTGGCTTATGTATGACTGAGAAAAAAGTAGACTAGAGCGCAGTTTATCGACTAACGTTTTAGAAGTGGCTGCTCCCTAGCGGTGACAAGTAGAATCACACAGCACAGAATCTGAGCGCTAAATGCTGTCCTTCTGGATACAGTTACACTCTCTACGCAATATTTACAGGTACATTTTTCTTTTGAGATCTTACAGCTGCTTCACAGACATCATATTGTTTAAAAACTTCTTTATAGTCCCATAGTTCACTCCAATTACATCATACGACGTTCTCAAAGGGATAATTCACCCAAAAATTTAAGTGTCATCAGTTCTCTCATTTCTACTGAAAACTGTAGCAGAATGTCCAAAATGGCATACTCCACAGAATGAAAGATTTGCAGAAGTTTCCACTTCGAATGGATGACTTGAGAAAATTGAACAATGTGCACAAGTTGGATATTTTGATGCACTATTATAATGCTTTTTAGAGTATGGCAGCTCATCCCCATTTACTTTCATTGCATGGAAAAAAGCAGCTCAAACATTCTGCTAAACATCGGCTCATGTTATGGAAGAAAGATCGGAAAGACGGAGTAAAAATTGAAGGGCACACACACAAATATATAACTCTTATATATATTTACAATCGGTTTTGATTTTTCATCATTCATTGTCTCCGCAACAGATTTTCCTTGAATATTCGTTCAGCTTTGGCAACTTAAAATCCCAACACCCCACAAAAACAACGAAAAGCACATTCAGAGGTGAACACTGTGCACATGAAAAGACCTAAGTATATAAACTTAATAAAGTACAATATAAACTTTACTACTACTGATAAAATGCCATTGTGGGGACAGTACAATAAAGTGAGTTCTCTAAATGAAATCTTAAAAGAAATATCGTTTATATACTACAGAAAATCAACATTGACTGAAGACATTTAAAATGCCACTTATACAACGAGCAATAAATTAGTCACAAAATACTCTTTTTCTAAAACATTCAATCTGTTAGATCACATACTTTTTAAAAATTCATTCAAGAAAAACTTTTGTGCCTCTTACACCGATTACACACCTGAGCAGCATTTCCCCCCATTGACAGACAGTAACACAGAGCTCAAAAGCTGCAGTGTTACTATTAGATAAAAAAATTATAATTTCATAATCACCCAAAAGCAATCAGCACTGTCACACTGAAACATCACAAGGGTGGAGATTTAAAAGGCAAAAATGGAAAATAAGGTGGAGTGAAGAAGTCATAGGGGAGATGACAGACACTGTAAAGTTTCTTTTTTTTTTACCAGTGTCGGGAGTCAACCAGCTCTGGGCGTAAGCTGAGCTTTTTGAGAGTTTCATAACCGACTACCATGACTATTGCTGTGGGCGCTGAGGCTATGATGCGAGCAGAGAGGCCTTTGGTCATCCCCCAGAATCCCTCCTCTCTGATCAGCTGGTTGAAGGTCTCAATGACTGATGTCCTGCCCTCCACCTGCCCAAAAAAACAGTCAGATATTTGGTTACTGGGATTTCTGGGGTTTAAGAAGAATTTACGTCAAAAACGAGAGAATTGGGGAAAGCACACATCAGAAAAATAAAAATATACAAGTGTAAAGAATTACACATATACGTCAAATCAGTTCTGTTGTGTTGCTGGTTTGCATTTGAATTTGTTAACCTCATTTTACATAAGGCGGTTTTTGATAGTCATCTGTGTTTTGTTGTACATGTAAACACACTCATGCCAGCTATACATATCGGTTGTCTGATTTTTTACTGTGTTTAATGGAAATCACCTGAACCCGGGCCCTGATGACATCCATGGGGTTGGTGACAGTGGAGGCAGTGGCAGCTGCCAGAGGTCCAGCCACTGCCTGCAGCACTAGATGAGGGCAGTTACTGGGAGCCATCTTAGACAACTGCTCTGTAGAGCCAATAAAATTTAAACTGCTTCAGAATCAGCTGACATTATATCAGTCTCTAATGGAGACGGACAGATTGCCAACCAAGACGACTTCTGTCCATGTGACTCTGAACAGTGTTTTATCAATCAAAACATGAAGATTCAAAGTACTTAAAACTGGCATTGCCACTTAAATGCATACACAATCTGCCACTAAACTGAGCAAATGATTTGAAATGTTACACTACCTTTCAAAAGTTTGTTGGTTTAAAAAAAAAAAAAAAAGTATTTTATGATCACCAAGGCTGCATTTATTTTAT